CCAACTGCTATTTGAAAATCCTATTTTTAATTTGTATTTAGAGCTTAGAGTCTAGGTAGGGTTGTGGAAATGTATTTTTACAATTACAATCTTGCAGTTTCAAATATAGCAACTATTTACATGAAGCAGATTTTAAAAGAAGTTTCTGAATCTGTACAGATCATTCATTGTTAAAGATCTGAAAATGAAAAAAATATGAACGATGAATCATTTGATTATCATATTGGACTCTATGTCATAATACAAATTCATTAGGAATTTCTTATTTACTATGAGTAAGCCGTAAAATTTGCCCAAACTTTTAAGTTTAGTACAGACCTCAAATTCTTAAATTCCTCCATTTAGAATTCCCTTTTTATTGCTAGCCTTGTAAAGAATTGGAGTTTTGTTTAACCACTTTGAGCGGTTATTATTAGCACAGTCCATTAAAGCCTGGTGTTTACCTTCTCAGAGAGACTGAAGCAACAGGGCTGAAGTGTTCCCTTGATTTGAATTAAAAGATTGCAAGGCAATTAGGACCTAGTGTGTTTAGTTGGAGTCTGAGGCATCTGTCTGCACATTCATTCTGTAGGATGCTGCCCATAAATGAAATGGAAACCATTTAGCAGGGATGCTTTTTAAGGGCCCATTACTGAAATTGTAACACTAATGTCAATTCATGAATAAGGTTTTGAAATACTGGATGGAAGAATCTGCTTCCCGATTGGCGAGGTTTCAGGAGAGGAAGAACACTGGCACATTCACATCCAGAAACTCTAAGTGCAACTGATGTGTCATTTAGTTTTGGCCAATCCAGGAAAGCTGTGGTTGCTGACAATGGATTCATTAGAACCTCTCTTCTACAGCCAACAGGCATAGGAAAAAAATGAAATGTCTCTGGCAGTTCTCAGTGTTGATGGAAAAGTCAAAGTGGCCTTCAATGGGCTGCTGGTAAAAGGAAAGCTTTGTTTTGGGTTCCAACTGCCTGAGCATGGTCATTTTGAAACTCAATAAAGGTGTGTGTTCTAGGAAATCAGAGGAGTCGTTTGTTAATACATCAGCTGGAATGGAGGAAGCTGGGTAACTGTCATGAGGAAATTCATGATGCATGTGGGGACTTCCTGAGCAGCTTCCCCAAGGACTCTGCATTAATAGAAGTCTTTGTTGGTCATAAAATTGGATGACCCTGTAAGCATCAGAATTAGTTGTGGGTAGATTTGCTCAAAATTACATTCACTCCTTTTTGAGGTCTCTTAATGATTCAGATTAGAATTTATTGAAATAACAGTATAGAAAAGAGGTTATTTGTGTAACCAATATTATCATTAAAATATTTTGTTTATTGAACTTGACCAACACCCATAGCTTTTAGAAAGCTTCATGTTCCTCACTGAGTCCCTATTACCCCATTTTCCACAAAATATTATAGAAAAAATTACTTCCAATGCCCCACATGATATATTCTGCCTTTGCATTTTCTTTTTTGAAAGGGATCTTGATGGATCAGGAAGCCAGAGAAAGGTCAAAAACACCATGGCATAGATGCCTAAGTTTGTTGAAACAGGATATCTCTTCAAAGTAATCACCTCCATCTTCATCATTTACAATAAAGCAATGAAGGTGATTTTGAACACTGTGCAAAGTGGGAAAAAATTATTGGTTTGAAATTAAATGCATCAAAAAATGTAAGATGCAATTATTGTAAAGTTTAAAGATATTCAAAGAATACATGTTTTAGCTGCCTGCAATATTTCATAGTAATTGAAATTATTCATATGTGTATTTTCAGCATTGAAAACCAATGTAACTGGTATTTAAGGCTTACAGCAGTCAATAAAGAGAAGATAAAGTCTAGCAGTGCTAACTCAGTGCTAAGACTGTCTTACCTGGCTTCACAGAGAGCATACTTATTAGATGTTGACAATGTACAACTAAGGGTATCCAAAGTATTAAGTATGTATCAGACATCTCTCTACATTAACCTGAGTGTTTAAGTCTCTCATAAATAAAATTAGTTCCCTTATCAAAGATATCACATAGAGATCATCTCTCTCCTCATGTGAAGACAGAAAAATATTCCCTATGTGTCTGAAAGTGAGTTTTCACTGACCAGTTTGCTTTGATCTTGGGCTTGTTATCTCCAGAACAATGATTCATGAATTTCTGTTATTGATAGGACAGTCAATTATAGCAATTTTTGTTATAGCAACACAAGTAGATTAAGACACATATCTTTCCTTTCACTCTGAGTTTGCTAAGGTCAATATCTATTCCAGTTTCTCCTACAAAGTAATGACTGTCTCTCTCTCCTTTTTATGTTACCAAATTTGAAAGTAATCTTTTAGCTACTTTTCTTGTAGTTGTGACAAATGTCCCAAATAAGACAATTTAAGGAAGGAAAGGGTTTGTTTTTAATCAAACAGATTTTTATTCAAGATATGTCATACAGTACATATCATACATACAGTACTAAATGTAGTTTTTAACTTTGAGTGAGGAATGTTGAGTGTGTTTTCATATCATTTTCATGAACATTAAACACTGCCTTTAAATGTTCATTCATCATTATTGTATGTGTGTTTGTATTTGTGTGTGTGTGTGTGTGTGTGTGTGTGTGTGAGAGAGAGAGAGAGAGAGAGAGAGAGAGAGTGTGTGTGTGTGTGTGTGTGTGTGTGTGTGTGTGTGTGTGTGTGTTGTGGTGTATGTAGGAGGTAGTACTCATGCCATGGAGTGAATGTGGAGACCAGAGAACAATTCTCTGCAGCTTGTTTTTTTCCACCAGCCCGTGCATGTGCTTATAGGAGTGAACATGGATAATCAGGTTTGCATGGCAAGCACTTTAATTACTGAACCATCTTGCAAGCCTCTCATATTTAGTTCTTAACAAAGTTCTTAAAACTGGACTAAGAGTACTCGAAAAGAGTCTCAATATATTTTCCTCTAATTTTCTCTAGTAAATGTCAACCATACCCTTCCAGTCACCCAGGCAAAGACCTTTGATTTAACCTTAACTTGACTTTTTTTCACACCACATTCTATAAACTAGTATATTTTGTTCATTTGTCTTCAAAGTACATCTAGAATTTGAACTCTTCCTGCTGTTTCCACTACAGTATTATATTAAAACCCAGGATCCACTCTGATTGAATTATTACAAGTCTTGGTTTAGTGGTTTTCTTGCTCTGATGTTTTCTTCTGAAATCTAAGGAGTGGTGCTCTTAATGTGCAAGTTGAATATTATATTCTTTTTAAAACTCTTTGTGGAACTCCATCTTATGCAAGCAAATATCAGACCTTATAGGGACCCCAACTTCCTTTGAAGTATGTATATTCCATTCCTTCCTGGGCCATGTCATCCATATATCCTACTTACCAGTTCTGTTGGAAGATAAGTCTGTTTTCAAATGTTAGCACAGACCCTCTCTACAGCTATCTTACACAAAGTGACACACACTTCATGATGAATAATCTTGTTGTTGTGTTAGTCAATGTTCTGTTGTCATGGAGAGTTACCATGATTGCAGCAACTCTTATGAAGGAAAACATTTCTTTGGGTCCATTGTCATCATGATAGGAAGCATGTTGGTATGTAGACAGGCATGGCTAGAGAAAGAGCTTAGAGTTCTACATCTGGATTGGCAATCAGCAGAAAGAGAGAGACACTGGGCCTAGCTTCAGCTTTTGAAATTTCAAAGCCCACTCCAAGTGATACATATCCTCCAACAAGGCCACACCTCCTAATAGTGCCACTCTGCAGTGCCCAAGCATTCACGTCTATAAGCCTATGGGGACCATTATTATTCAAACCACTGTAGGTGTCAACTTGATTTGAACTGGGATAAAGTCAAAGTCAGTCAGTTCTCTGGGTACATCTATTAAAAAAAAGGGTGTTTTATTATGCTTTCATGTTTTCTATTGCCATGACAAATCAATGACCAGTCAACTTGGGTGGAAAAGGTTTATTTGTCTAATAGGTTACAGTTAATCAGCATGGAAGCTGTGGTAGAAAGTCAAGGCAGGTACTTGAAGACAGGGACTAGAGCAGAGGCCATGGAAGAATGCTGTTGACTGGCTTTCTCCCCATGGCTTGCTCAATTTTATTTCTTATATATCCAATGACTACCTGCCTATTGGTGACACTACCCAAAACAGGCTAGGGTAACCCAATCACTCATTAGTCAAGAGAATGTCCTACAGATTTGTCTATAGGCTAATCTAATGGGAGTATTTTTATCAGTTGAGTTTTACTGTGGAATAATTTTTTTGTACACTATGAAGATTTGTCACTCAAATTGGTTTAATAAAGAGACAACCAACAAATAGCTAGGCAGGATTTTTGGGACAAAGAGGATACTGGGAAGAAGAAGGGCAGAGACATGGGGAATCATCAGCCAGATGGAGAAGAAGCAGCATGGGCAGGACATGGTAAAAGTAATAAAGCCATGAGACAAAAAAGTAGTGTGATAGGGGGCTGGAGAGATGGCTCAGAGGTTAAGAGCACTGACTGCTGCTCTTCCAGAGGTCCTGAGTTCAATTCCCAGCAACCACATGGTGGCTCACAACCATTTGTAATGAGATCTGGCTCCCTCTTCTGGCCTGCAGTCATACATACTGTATACATAATAAATAAATAAATCTTTAAAAAAAAAAGTAGTGTGATAAAATGAGTAAAGTTGTAAGAACTAGTTAGTAACAATCCTAAGTTATTGACTGAGATTTTATAATTGATAATAAGACTCCATGTCATTACTGGGGAGCCAAAGGTCACAACAAAAAAGTCCTTTTGCAGAGTTTCCCTCTTCCCATTATCCTGAGCTTGAGACAAGTTGAAAGAGAACCCAAGAAATATAAAGGGTATCTCCTGAAAGGAATAAATGAGGGGAGAAGACTCTCCCCAAGACCAGTTAGAATCTTTGAAGTGCAACGCAGATATAAGGAATTCTGAAGAAAGAACAGGAATGTTTTGTCTTCCTTCTATTTTTTGCTAGTGAGTTCTATCTATTGTTGCTGCTGCTGTTGCCATGTTTCACTGACAGCAGAAGCCAGCTCCTTTGTCTTTGTAATATGGACTGGAGAGTGGTGACTCCCCAGGTGTCCTGCATGTGTGTGGTGCCAATTTGGGACTGCTGAGTTGTCCAGCTTTGTGGGCTGGGCGGCTTCCAGGTAACAACCTCTTTCCAGGATAGTTTTGTTGAACTATGTAACACAGATTTTTTAAGTCAATATAGTGAGTTATTTTATAAATATACTTATCACACCCTTATTTCTGTTCCTCTAGAGACCCTTGGCTACTACTTCTTTCACATTTTTTTTTCTATCTTATAAACTAAATATAAATTACATGTTCTGTGCACCATTGCATGTTTTATGGGTAAACTCAGAAAAGTAATCAAATATTCTGTTCTCATAGAGTATTCATGCTGCTAAGAAGCTGCTGATTTCCATAATAATTACTAACATTGTGAACAACATAGGCTTGTTTGGATTTTTGATTTTGCTTTAGTTATTTTCCTCACAGAGAGAAAGTACCAGGATAGCATGAAGTTAAGTTTGTTAGGTCTTTGCAAGTTACAATATTTGTCATTGTATAAGCACTAAAAACATATTCCATAAATGAGAAAACAAGTGCATAGATATGTTAAATCTTAAAGTAGATCTTAAAGTTCAGGATTGAAAACAGACTCATCAAAGTGCATAGCAGTAAGTGCATACATTAAAAAAACTAGAGAGATCTCATACTAGTAACTTAACTGCACACATGGAAGCTTTAGGGAAAAAAAATAAGAAATCACACCCAAAAGAGAAGATGGCAAGAAGTGATCACACTCAGGGCTAAAATGAATAAAATAGAACAAAACAAACAAAGCAAAAAGAATCCTAAAACAAAGAGTTGGCTCTTTGAGAAAATCAATAAGATTGATGAGCCCCTATCCTAATTAACTAAAATGCAGAGAAAGAACATATAAATTAACAAAATTAGAAATGAAAATAAGGACATAACACCAGATACCAAGTGTCGGCATTCTGGCCCGCCCCTTGGAGACCCCCTCTGTGTCCTGACATAAAGTCCCTTTAAAAAGAAAACTCCTCCTCCCCCCTCTCTTTTTCTCTCTATTCCTAGGAGGTGTGCACCCTCTCTCTGTCTCTGTCTCTGTCTCTCTGTCTCTTTCTGTGTCTCTCTGTCGCTCTCTCTCTCTCTCTTTCTCTCCCCCCTCTCCCTATTTCTCTTTCCCTCTTTCTCTCTCCTATCTCTCTTCCCCTCACCAAATAAAGTTCTTCACCGAGCGCTGACTGCATGGTGTTTCTGTCTCTCCCACGCAGCAGGGCACCTTGGTTCCATCTGCCAGGGCCTCCTGCATCATAACATTGGTGCTAGTGACTCATCAGAGGCAATCCTGGTACATTTCTCCTGCAGTCTGAGACACACTAGGAGCCCTGGGACCTTCAAACACTCACTTCATCCAACACCAGCATAATTGGTAAACCCCACTTCTGGCCATTTCTCACGAGTGTGGATTCATCTTCTAGACCGTGGTCTCTTACCTCTTGGCTCCATTCCTGTAAGGGCAATCACGTGTCTCTCATGCTTAACTGCCCTCCTGCCCCTGTTCTCTGTTAGATGAAACATTTCAACGGTCTGTGCCCTCTCCCTCCGACGTCAGTGTCCTTCGGGCTCCTGCTCTGAGATTGATAAATTGAATAGCATCCTCCATCCTTTGCTTCACTTATGGGAAATTAGCCAAATCCAAGGATTCTTGAGCTATATACCCCAGTCCCTTCCTCCCTCCCTCCTTCCCTCCGCCTGTAGCCACTGCCGCTCATGGCATCTGTGTGGGGCAAGCCACACATAATATAGCACCCGCCCTCATTGTTGCTGCTATGGGGACCCAGGATGCCTCCCTTATCTTCTGCTTCTTCCTGGCTTTCTCTCACCCTGCTGCCTCTCAGCCTGAAATTCTACAGCTCATTCTTTATACTCTAAATTCTTATCTCTGGCTTTTTTAAGTTGGTCAGCTAACAGTTTCCTGGAGTTTTATCTGTTATTCTGCTAAAAAAAAAAAAAATTTATTTTGTATGTGTGAATGGAAATATATGATTGAGGTGGCCAAATAAATGTGTTTCTGACTGACTTTTGAATGCTTGAGTTTATGTGTCCTATATGTGTTCCATATGTCTTAAAAAAAATCATGTGAACACATGGTCAGGCACCAGAGGGCCATCACGTGGTCAGGCAGGTGTCATCTTGGCTAAGGTCAAAGAAGGACAGGTCATATGACCTTACTGCCATCTTTACTAAGGGCAACAAAAGTTACTTCCTTTCCGTGGCTCAAGCGTGGATGAGGTGCCCAGTGCTCAGGCCCTATGGTTGCAGCCTGATGTTCATCTGCTGTGGCTCTTCAGCTCATGTGGGTGGGACCCAGAGACCTATCTTCTCCCCTCCAGGGCTCTACGGCTTCAGCAGTGCCACAAGCTGATGATATGGCCAACTTGCCAGCACATTTTATAGATTAAAAAATATCAAGCCTTACTTTTTCTAAAGATACCAGATCTCTTGATATAAATAAATGATTTAAATGATTCCGATTACTTTTCTCTTCTATGATATTGTTATATGAAATTTTTTAAAATTCAGATTTTAATATTAATAGAGCTCTGATGCAGTTTGGGTCACAAACTCAGGATTTTGGGGTTTCTTTGATTGTCTTCTAAAAATAAACTTATAGGTGTGAATCTACTGCTGTTTTTCAGATGTCCCACCCCCTGCTCCAAATAAAGGAGTTTTCCTCACTTGTCTATTCCTAAGGATGGTATCGGTATTTTTCTCTCTCTGGGTCTCCCTTTCCCAATTACTCATGGGCCTAAAGCTCCAAATAAGTTAATAAATTTTAACTTTTTTCTCTAGTCTATCTGTCTCAGCAGGTTTCCACTTGGCTGGCAGACATATCCAAGTGTCAATTGCTGCAATCTACTCCAAAGGACCACGAGCTGTAGACTTGCTGAAGGCTGATAAGATGTGGACCAGTCCAAGCAAACATAATTGTTCCCTGTCTCTACTATCAGATCAGATGACCATATACTTCTGATAAATACCCATTGCCTGGGTTGTTCCCTCCTTACCTTTGACTGGCCTTTTGGCCTCCTTGGGCTATGACCATCTGCTCCCCGTTTCAGCTTGAAGCACTTATGGAAGAGAATATGTCATCCTGTGTTCCCTGCCCACCCCACAACAGGCTAAAGGGCTAAGTAAAAGAGAAGATCCCTGGCACAGGGAACAACATGTCTACCTATAATGCCCATTGATATCCAAATACTGTGCTTGGAGTTGTCACTTAAGAGATGTATTAACTAAATGGTTCTGTAATAGGATAAGACACTTGACCTTCTTTATGAAGAACCAAAGAGGTATTATATGACATTAAGAAATTATTATTTCTATTTAATTATTCAGTATTCTGATCTAGCTATACTCAAAGTTCAAAACTATATGAATAAACTTTACCTAGTCCCTTGCATATGTTTTCAGGGTTGAGCTTAAAACAAGTAACTAAAAACAACATTTGTATATTCAGATATACTTGGACAGCCCTCAAATACTTCAGAGATCTGCAGAATGTGTCATTTAAATTGTTTAATTAAAAAGATTTTTTGTGATAGAAAGACATGCTAGCTCCTGACAGAACCTTTATTTCCTCCAAAGAAAATGGCTGGACACAGAAGAACCTCCAACCAGAACTTGCTCCAGAATAGCAGCACCAGCCACTGAGGTAGGCACAGAAGAACCTCTACTGCTACCAGGGCCTTCTTCAGACCATGGACAACAGGACTCTGGGAACCCATTGCCTCACTTTTGCCTAGACAAGATAGACTGGTCCTTCCCACGAGTTCCTACCCCACAACTGTTGAATCTTCTGAGGCCTAGCATGCCTAGACCTGGCAGCCAAAGACTAATGTTGTTGCCCCGAGACCTCTGCCCTCAATGACCATGGAGGACCCTGGGGTGGCTGTCTAGGTAGTCAGCAGGTCAGTCTCTGTCACTTTCAATTGCTAACTCAGGTAAAATTTATCCTTCTCAGGTCTGTGATGCCATTTCACCACCAGGCTTTGCTTCAGCTGCCTTCTCAGTTCTCTATGTGAAATTCACAGCCTCATCCTCTTAGGGCTAATACTGCTCTCAGGGTCTTCTGATGAATTGGATAAAAAAGAAACACCTCCAAGGTTTATTTATATGAAGATAGGAAATCTATCTTCTGTTCACTCTGATGATGTTTAGGGAAGCATCCCTTCTCCTTCAACCACTTCCATTCAGTAAATTTCCTCTGGTTATAGATTTAAAGATATGTTTCATTGGGCTGAATCCAGAAAATGTGCATGCATGCCTTTTAACACAACACCATAGCCTTTTGCTACGACACCAAGATATAAATCTGTTCCAGCTGTCTTACATATACCTTCAGGTTCCTGGGAAAAGTTCTGCTACTGTATCAAGAAATCTGATCTGATGAAAACTAACAGTCTCCAGAACCCATTTTGATCCCACCAATTTTTGAGCATATTTTTCAGTTTCACTCCTTCTGCCTGAGCCAAGGCCAACCCACAGGGGGTCCTCCAGATGTGCCAGCCAGTGCACCAGCTCTGAGGATGCCAACCACCAACCAAGGATGCCAACTGGGATGGATGTACTTCCACACCAGCAAAAAAGCAGATGTGATGGCTCATGCACTCCTAAAGAACATGTCATCCCTTTATTTTACTGCTGCAACCTGCCTTCTCAGCTCCCTCAAGGAACAGATGCCTGAGATCTCCATGCCTGAGATCTCCACAATGACAGCCAACTGAATGTTTCTTCACTCACACTTCCCAACATGTGTGACCCTGACTTCTACCTTCCCCGATACTTCTCCCCAAAATCAGCAGGAAGCAGTCTCAAAAATTTAACACCCTTATTCCGCTGCTTGCTATCCATAACTCACCTTTTTATAATAATCAAAATGGAGGAATGTTGGCATTCTGGTCTACCCCTTGGGGATCCATGTGTTGATATTTTATTTATGTTTTAATAAATAAAGCTTACCTGGAGATCAGAGGAAAAAGACCAGCCATTATAAGTAAACAAAGGAGTCAGACAGTGGTAGCACACACAATTCTTTCACTTAATCCTATCACTTAGCAGGCAGGATCTCTGTGTGTTCCAGGACACACTGGAAACAGTACCAGGTGTGGTGGCACATGCCTTAATTCCAACACTAGTTAACCATGGATATCTGGAGGTCTGTACAGACAGACAGAAAGTGACAGAGCTGTGTAGGAAGAGGAAGTGATGTAGCTGAACAGAGAGAAAAATCAGGTGGCAGAACAGCAAGGCATATAGATGTGGGTAGACAGAAAGTAACTTGCATTTGGAAGCTGCAGAGTTGGTGAGGAAAGACTGGCTGGTGGCTTTCCCTATTTCCCTGATCTTTCTAAGGCTTTCACCCCTATATTTGGTTCTGTGTTTTTATTTAGTAAGACCATTAAGAAATTCATCTACAGACCCACCTTGTGTCCTGACATAAAGTCCCCTTTAAAAAGAAAACTTCTCCTCCCCACGTTTTCTCTATATTCCCATGAGGTGTGCACCATCTCTGTCTCTCTGTCTCTGTTTCTACATCTCTCTCTGTTTCCCTCCTTCCCTCTGCCCTCTCTCTCCCCCCATCCCTACACTCTTCACAGAGCACTGTCTGCCTGGTGTCTATGTCTCTCACCAGCCATGGGGCATCTTAGCTCCACTCATCAGGGTCTCCCATGCACCATATCATAACACCAAGGAAACGTAGAGAATCATGAGAACATATTTTAAAAATCTGTCCTCAAGGCTTGAAATATGGGCTTGGTAGTTGAAGGGACTTAACTGTTATTCCTCTTGCAGAGAGTCTTGGTTCAATTCCCAGCATCAGTATCAAGTGCAAACATGAATAAATATTCATAAATAAAAATGAATTAAAAAAATCTTAAAAGAAATCCTCAACCAAAATTGGAGAATCCAAAAGAAATTGACATTTTTCTCAATGTGTACCAATTATTAAAGTAAAATCAAGATTAGATAAGCAATTTACAAAGACCTATAACCCCTGGTGAGATAGAAACTGTTGGGATTCTGCCCTTACTCCTGCACATTCGCACTTTGGAGTCTTGTGTCTTATGTCATCAGGGGGCGTGGTGACTACATACATGCAGCATGGTTGTTGCTGGAGAGCTTCTCTCCAGGTTCCCCAAGCCCCG